GATTTCAACAAAAATTGAATATATGGGGTTCTTTGATATGCTGAATCTAACCATGTATTTAGATTTTTGATTTTTGGGCCCCATTATCAACTTTGTCCACATTGAGGTCAAAAGGGTCCAAAATTAAACTTTGTTTGATTTCATCAAAAATTGAATTCTTGGGGTTCTTTGATATGCTGAATCTAACCATGTATTTAGATTTTGGATATTGTACCATAATAGGTGAATGTCCAATTTAAAATTTTTAAGTTCTTAGACCACATTCATTCTGTGTCAGAAACCTATGCTGTGTCAAATATTTAATCACAATCCAAATTCAGAGCTGTATCAAGCTTGAATGTTGTGTCCATACTTGCCCGAACTGTTCAGGGTTCGACCTCTGCGGTCGTATCAAGCTGCGCCCTGCGGAGCATTTTATTTTCAATTGTGGCTATAGATATAAGCAATAGTTGGAGAGAAATTTAACACCACAAAAATGGTAATTGGACAAAATTTACAAATGAATCAAGTTCATGAAAATGTCAGTAGACTCTATATGGGAGATATTGTACATAAATGAGGGTTTTTACCATTCTACATTTTTGTGAAAACTACAAAAGACATATAGAGAGAAATAATTATATACAGCAAAGATGGTCAGCATATTTGGATACAAATAAATCTGCATGACCCTAATCCTTCAGTGACTCCACATAAGGTATTTTTACTCTTTTAATGTTTCTGGCTATAATCTTGATAACTAAAATGGACAAAGAAAATTCAAAATCAGCTAGAAAAGGTCTTTATACAAATACTTACCATCAGTTATCTCCAGGCATGTTTGCCTCTGAATAAAAATGTTAACTCTTTTTTGTGTTCTTGGTTATAATCTTGAAAACTATACTAAATAGTGATAATGTTTAAACAAAAGTGATTTAGGAAGACATTTAGATCTGCAAATAATTAAGTCTCCCAAACGAAGTTTGGGAAGACTTATTGTTTTTGCTCAGTTCTTATTATTATTATTATTCTTCTTCTTCTTCTTCTTCCGCCACTTTTAAATTTGAACTTGTCCGCACCCGTTCTCCAAAACCGCTTGTCAGATTAACTTAGGGTTTCACAATATGTTAGACTAACATGTCTAGTGGTGCAATCAGGGTTTTGTTTGTGCAATGGGGTTTATAAAGGGGTACTTTGAGGGGCAAAAAGAAAAGAGGGTTTTACTATAGAACCCTATGGGATTTTATTTTTTAAAATTTTCAAATGATTATAAATTGAAAACCGTTTGTGATAGACACAATCTTTTTAATTGAAAATGTTCTAAATGATAAAGCCCATTAAATGAAATACAGGGTTAGTCCCCAGGGGTCACCCCCACCCCCTGCCATTTAAGAAAGTTCTAATACCTTGTAAGTGGTCAAGATCCCCACCCCTAAACCATATATATTTTGGTTTGTTATGCTAAGATGGTTTGAATGATATACAGGGTTAGTCCCCAGGAGTCACCCCGACCCCCTGCCATTTGAGAAAGTTCTAATATCTTGTAAATGGTCGAGATCCCCACCCCTAAACCATATATATTCTGGTTTGTCATGACAAAGCACATCAAATGAAATACAGGGTTAGTCCCCAGGGGTCACCCCCACCCCCTGCCATTTAAGAAAGTTCTAATATCTTCTAAGTGGTCAAGATCCCCACCCCTAAACCATATATATTCTGGTTTGTCATGCTAAGATGGTTTGAATGATATACAGGGTTAGTCCCCAGGGATCATCGCAACCCCCTGCCATTTGAGAAAGTTCTAATATCTTGTAAATGGTCGAGATCCCCACCCCTAAACCATATATATTCTGGTTTGTCATGATAAAGCACATCATATGAAATACAGGGTTAGTCCCCAGGGGTCACCCCCACCCCCTGCCATTTAAGAAAGTTCTAATATCTTGTAAGTGGTCAAGATCCCCACCCCTAAACCATATATATTCTGGTTTGTCATGATAAAGCACTTCAAATGAAATACAGGGTTAGTCCCCAGGGGTCACCCCCACCCCCTGCCATTTAAGAAAGTTCTAATATCTTCTAAGTGGTCAAGATCCCCACCCCTAAACCATATATATTCTGGTTTGTCATGCTAAGATGGTTTGAATGATATACAGGGTTAGTCCCCAGGGGTCATCCCGACCCCATGCCATTTGAGAAAGTTCTAATATCTTGTAAATGGTCGAGATCCCCACCCCTAAACCATATATATTCTGGTTTGTCATGATAAAGCACATCAAATGAAATACAGGATTAGTCCCCAGGGGTCACCCCCACCCCCTGCCATTTGAGAAAGTTCTAATATCTTGTAAGTGGTCAAGATCCCCACCCCTAAACCATATATATTCCTATTTGTCATGTCTCGAACATTTGAATGACGTATACGGTCAGTCCCCAGGGGTTCCTCCCCACCCCCAATGTTCTAGTATCTTGTAAATGGTTGAGATCCCCACCCCTAAACCATATATATTCCTGTTCGTCATGTAATGAACATTTGAATGACGTATAGGGCCAGTCCCCAGGGGTTCCTCCCCACCCCCAATGTTCTAGTATCTTGTAAATGGTCGAGATCCCCACCCCTAAACCATATATATTCTGGTTTGTCATGCCAAGATGATTTGAATGATATACAAGGTTAGTCCCCAGGCATCACTAATGCATATAACTTTACTGGACTAAACCAATTTTCACTGGAAGTTGCCCAATGTCAGGCGACCCTGGGAATTACGAATTATGGGAGCTTCGTTTGGGAGACTTCGTAACAGCATCCTGTTACATTCATTTCTTGTTCAACATGTAAGAAATCATCAATTGCCTCATTTTAGTAGTTTTTTCCATTAAATCATGATTTTAGTTTACACATTTTTGTGTTATTGGCATTTAATCTTGAAAACTCTAAATTAACAGAGAGAAACTGTTTCCTACAAGAAAGGTGAGCAGGTTATCATCTACAAATAAGCCAACCTTAAACATTGTGAAAAGGAAGATAATAGCTACTATTTACTTTTCTGATGTTGTGAAAAGGGAGATAATAGCTACTATTTACTTTTCTGATGTTGTGAAAAGGGAGGTAATAGCTACTATTTTTCTGATGTTTTGAAAAGGGAGATAATAGCTACTATTTACTTTTCTGATGTTGTTAAAAGGGAGGTAATAGCTATAAGTTACTTTTCTGATGTTGTGAAAAGGGAGGTAGTAGCTATTAGTTACTTTTCTGATGTTGTGAATAGGGAGGTAATAGCTTTAAGTTACTTTTCTGATGTTGTGAAAAGGGAGGTAATAGCTATTAGTTACTTTTCTGATGTGAAAAGGGAGGTAATAGCTATTAGTTACTTTTCTGATGTTGTGAAAAGGGAGATAATAGCTACTATTTTACTTTTCTGATGTTTTGAAAAGGGAGATAATAGCTAACATTTACTTTTCTGATGTTGTGAAAAGGGAGGTAATAGCTACTTTTTACTTTTCTGATGTTTTGAAAAGGGAGATAATAGCTACTATTTACTTTTCTGATGTTGTGAAAAGGGAGGTAATAGCTATAAGTTACTTTTCTGATGTTGTGAAAAGGGAGGTAATAGCTATTAGTTACTTTTCTGATGTTGTGAAAAGGGAGGTAATAGCTTTAAGTTACTTTTCTGATGTTGTGAAAAGGTAGATAATAGCTACTATTTTACTTTTCTGATGTTTTGAAAAGGGAGATAATAGCTACTATTTACTTTTCTGATGTTGTGAAAAGGTAGATAATAGCTACTATTTTACTTTTCTGATGTTTTGAAAAGGAAGATAATAGCTACTATTTACTTTTCTGATGTTGTGAAAAGGGAGGTAATAGCTATTAGTTACTTTTCTGGTCCGAGGACACAGTTATCGTCCTTAGATTTTTTGTTGTCTACAAATATAGTCCCTAGTGTGGACAGTGTATAACTTGCAAATTTTTTTCATACACTTTCCAAATTTATTTCTTTATATTTTATTCATGAAATATTAAGTAAGGGGATGAAATTACATGTTTAAAAAATTAGGGTGCTGAATCTTCATGTTAAGTAGTGATTTGGTCCAGTTAAAAAAGGTCAAAAACTAGTATGTCTGAAGCTGTCAAACTGAATTTTAGACCCCCTTAACATAGGATTGTCAATATTTTGAGTTAGAGCTGGTAGACTTTTCTATAATTTTGATATTATTTGTCCCAATAGTAGAACACTACACTGTAAAAATCTTTTTGAGATAGAGCAGGTGCGATTTTTTTAATTTGACTTTTTTATATTGTCTTAAAGAAATGCACTATGAAATAACTGTGTTCTCGGGTCTTCTGATGTTGTGAAAAGGGAGGTAATAGCTATTAGTTACTTTTCTGATGTTGTGAAAAGGGAGGTAATAGCTATTAGTTACTTTTCTGATGTTGTGAATGTTGTGAAAAGGGAGGTAATAGCTATTATTTACTCTTCTGATGTTGTGAAAAGGGAGGTAATAGCTATTAGTTACTTTTCTGGTGTTGTGAAAAGGGAGGTAATAGCTATTAGTTACTTTTCTGATGTTGTGAAAAGGGAGGTAATAGCTATAAATTACTTTTCTGATGTTGTGAAAAGGGAGGTAATAGCTATTAGTTACTTTTCTGATGTTGTGAAAAGGGAGGTAATAACTATAAGTTACTTTTCTGATGTTGTGAATAGGGAGGTAATAGCTATTAGTTACTGTTCTGATGTTGTGAAAAGGGAGATAATAGCTACTATTTACTTTTCTGATGTTGTGAAAAGGGAGATATTAGCTAATTGGTTGATTGTCTGCATCTTTATTCTTGGTCCCTTTAATTTGTTAAAAAAGAATCGAGAGAGTTACTCAGTATATGACAAGGAACAAATATTTTGATTTAAGCTTACATGTTTAATATTAGAAAAAAAATGTATTTTTCATCTACTCAGATTTTTTAAGTACAAAATGCAAATAAAAAATAATTTGAGATTAATTCTTACTTACCTTTTATTTAGGAGTGATGATAGATCATGGATGAGATACACAAGAAGGCTCTTAACCAATGTAGAGTCAGTTTGGTTAAAAATATTATCTTTGAGAGCGAATTCTGCGACCTGATTAAACAAAAAGAAATTTTTACTGATGGGATGCTTGAAGAGATTCAGGTAAATTTTGCTGATAGACTGGTGGATATGAGAATTTGACTCACCTTATTCTAGATATTTTTGGGGGGCAAAGATTGCATAATCAAAATCTTTATGTGGCTGGCTAGATATTTATCAATTTTCAAGACTTTAATTATCTCTACATTTGAGACGGACGAAGTGTTTTTTGTTCATTATTTTGTACATAAGTTAGGCTGTTAGTTTTCTTGTTTGAATTGTTTTACATTTGTCATTTCGGGGCCTTTTATAGCTGACTATGGGGTATAGGCTTTGCTCATTGTTGGAGGCTGTACAGTGACCTATAGTTGTTAATTTCTGTGTCACTTGGTCTCTTGTAGAGAGTTGTCTCATTTGCAATCATACCACATCTTCTGATTTTTCTATGTACACCTAACAAATATTCCATTTAATAAATATAGTTGACCTATTGCTTATGGTAATTGAAAAACAGACCAAAACACAAAAACTAGACAGGTACCCCTGACAATTATTCCATACACCAAATATAGCTGACCTATCGCTATAAGTATTTAAAAAACAGACTGAAACATTAAACCTGAACAATGACCAATGAACCATGAACATGAGGCCAAGTTTAGATGATACCAGTTAGACCAACATGTACATCTTACAATCGTTCCATATACCAAATATAGATGACCTTTTGCTTAAAGTATTTAAAAACAAACCAAAACACAAAAATGTGCTTTGCCAAGTGCAGCTGGATACGACCACAGAGGTCCAACCCTCAACAGTTTGGGCAAAAATGGACACAATATTCAAGCTTGATACAGGTCTGAATTTGGATTGTTATTAAATATTTGACACAATGTAGGTTTCTGACACAGAATAAATGTAGTCAAAGAACTTGAAATTGGTTATATGATTTGAATTTACATTCAATTGAAGATGTCTTGCTGTTGTGCAATACACTGTGCTGTTGCGCAATACTAAGTAAATCTTGTTTTCAGACTATAAACAAAGAATTAGCAAAATAAATTGTGACCCCAATCTTTTTTTGGGAAAATTGATTTCTTAAATATTGAGGTAAAAAAATTGACCCCCACCCCCCCACCCCCCCCCCCCCCCCCCCCTAAAAAAAAAAAATATTTGAAAAAAATTTCCTTTAGTAATATGTCATTATAGGTTTCTGACACAGAATAAATGTAGTCAAAGAATTTGACATTGGTTATATGATTTGAATTTATATTCAATTGAAGATTTCTTGCTGTTGTGCAATACACTGTGCTGTTGTGCTATACTAAGTTAATCTGTTTTCAGACTATATACAAATAATTAGCAGAAAAAATTGGGACCCCCAATTTTTTTTGTGGAAAATTGATAATTTCTTAAATATCTCAGAGTACTCGCAGTAACTGACAGCTAGATCAAAACCAATAACAACTACTAAAAAACATCATGTATCTAAGACTAAAATATCAATCAGTACACATCCAACATACAATGAATATGGTGTAAAGACGTCATTAACAGTCAGAGAAAAACATGACCTTGTGCAATGCCAAGATACAGGTATCAACAGATTGTAGAGCCATGAATTTGTAGATAAAAATAATATTTAGTTTGATTTTAATTTGCTGATACATGTGATAACAAAATCAATATTAATACCAATAAAAACAATATTCAAAGATCTAATTATAGTGTTGAATTGGTAACCTTTTAGAATAAGTTTATTTAAAGGATCGTACATGTCTGACAGGATTTATCTGACCTTGACCTCATTGTCATGGATCTTTAAAAATGTTAAGTTTATGTGATACAGTCATACTTGTAGTAAAATCTTTATCTTTAAGACTTTCAACATAAAGTCAATGGTCAGTAAAGCAGATGAGACATTGTTATTAGGTAAAAGTACACAATACAGGTTGATTGGCAACTGCCATGATCAAAACACAATCAGAGACAAGATGGAGCCTTAATTGGTATGTCCCACCCTCTCAAATGCCAATCAAATGACAAAATACTTATTAACTTCAGTCTTACATAATTAAACAGACACTTTATTACACAACTTAATACATAATTCTTGTCTCATTAATGAATACACACATGTTTAATTTTAAATTAGATGTTTAATGTATAGATATAGAAATGATAGATTTAATAATCAGAATAATACTTTAAATTGCATAAATGATCAGCAAAACAAGATCTACAAAGAAATAGTCAGTTGACTCCTTATTAGTGTTATTGCCCTTTGATGACAATTTTTACCAATTTTTTGCATTTATGCCTTATATCTTAAAAATTATAATAGATAGATAGAAACTTATAAAAGCAAATAAGATCAGCAAGACAATTAAGATCTACAATGAAGACATTATAGTGGAAATCGTTTGACCACCCCTTATTGGAGTTATTGCCCTTCAAGTTGGCTTGGGTGTCTTCCTCCATCTTGGTTTTGAAAAAGCATATAACAATCAGTCTAGCTCTTTAAGGAAACGTGCAAATTTCCGGAGTAGTATGTATTTCATGTCTAAGACCTTTCGTGTTGATATAGAAAATTATGTGTTTTATCATATTTACGGCTGTATTTTACAAACAAGCAGAATCTTTTATCTGATTTTTTTTAAATTTGCCACATAAGGTGTAATACCACCATTGATTTTTCCCTATTAGTCTTTGTAAAATTTTGCACTTTTCAAAAAATTGTGCAAAATTTATCTTTGTTTCAAATAAAGAAATACTTGGCATGAGTAAAGTTTTATCCTGTCCCGCAGTACTATAGAAAAAATTTCACATAACATTTCATTGCATATAAGAAATAACCATCACTGGAAGTTAACCACCCAAATTTTCCCCTTTTATTAACCTGTGTACAAGCTTTAGTAACCATGTAACCTCAAGTTTCCAAAATATTCTATAGAAACCCCAAATAAAAGAATGATGGTGCTTTTAAATACCCAAGATATATGTTTATAACCCAGAAATGTTTTACTGCAATGAAATGTAGGATAAATTACCTACAACTGTCAAATTCAAGGGAATATTTTTTTTCAACCTATTTTCGTATGCAACCAGATGTGACGTACTATGATTTGGTGGTATTACACCATAAGGGGAGGTAATTCAGATAAAGTAATTTTTATAATAAAATGTGTTATGAATTTACCTTTATTATTGTGTAGGAAGAAAACGAGTCCTGTGACCCCATTTTTTTAACCGGATTTTCGAAGGAAAAATTGGTTATTGATTTGGGGATGTACGGGTGGGCGGCTGGCAAACAGTGTCCGTTCATTAACATGAAAACACTTTGACGAAATCTTTTCAAATTTAAATATGTTTTTTCCTGTGACTAAATGAAGGTCAAGTTCAATTTTCACGATTTGAGCTTTTCTCGTTGTTGAGTTGTCATCCTTTTAGTATCCAAAAGTTATACTTATTATATGATTGAGTTATTTCCCTTTGAACAGAAATTGTGATTTGCAAATATCATTTTCATTAGATAATAATCTATTTTTATTAAAGGATATATTTTATTACATTACATTGTGTAGATAAAATTGTTGACATTGATAGATAAGTTGCAGATCTATATTAGTTTGTGACAAATGAAAGAACAATATTGGGAACTATTAATTATATATATAAAGTTTGATTACACCAAGTGTTTTTAAATAATTTTCACCTGTAATCATTTTCTGTTTCTTAAGTGTTTTGATGATGATAAGATCTGTAGGACTGTATAAATAAAGTTTGAAATTTACTGTTCATTATTAGACATTTTGAAGATAATTACAGATAAGTTCTATAGATTTTTAATAGATATTGTATTAATGATAAATGACATTTTGGATTTTTTTTCTTCTTTTCTTTGGTAAATTGTTTGAAGAATTTTGTGGTAGGTTTGTTTGTTATTCTGTATAAAATTATTTTCTGAATGCTATATATATATATTTTTTTGATGAAGCAAGCTCCTTTAAAAACTAAGCTTAGTTTGTCTATTAATAAACATATATTTAGATTTCTGATTTTGGGCCCAGTTTTCAAGTTGGTCCAAATCGGGGTCCAAAATTATACTGTGTTTGATTTCAACATAAAATGAATATATATAGGGTTCTTTGAAATGCAGAATCTAAACCTGTATTTATTTTCATTATTAATTAGATAATACCACATTGAGGTCCAAAGGGTCCTAAATTAAACTTTTGTTTGATTTCATCAAAAATTGAATTCTTGGGGTTCTTTGATATGCTGATTCTAACAATGTACTTAGATTTTGGATATTGGACCGTAATAGGTAAATGTCCGATTTCAAGTTTTTCAGTTCTTTGACTACATTCATTTTGTGTGACAAACCTATGATGTGTCAAATATTCTGTCACAATCCAAATTCAGAGCTGTTTTAAGCTTAAATGTTGTGTCCATACTTGCTCAACTGTTCAGGGTTTGACCTCTGCAGGAAAATCTTGTTTGCTGTCACTCTGACAGCCTTTTGTCTTTTTCTTATCTGAAAGCATATTATTAGAGCTATCTTCTCACATTTTATCTTTAAATTCTATGGAGTAGTTTTCTTTTTATGACACAAAATTGGGTTTTCCATGCATAATCTATACAAAAATCTGACAATTTTGCACAACCCAAAGCATGACCCAGTACATACTTTTTATTATATTTTTGAAAAAAGCATGAAATAAACTACATTTTGACAAATTATAAAAAAATTCTATGGAAATTAATTTAGACCCCCATCTACCTTAATGACCATTTTCACCATTTTTTTGCCTTTTGCCTTATTATAAAATTATAATAGATAAAAAGACACTTTAAATCACAAAAATGATCAGCAAGTCAAGATCTACTTACAAGTCAAATTTTGACGATATAATTAGTAGACTGTCACTCTTTATAGGAGTGATTGTCCTTAAATGAGGATATTTTTTACCCTCTTTTGTGTTTTGAGCAAAAACCAAAGAAGATGGTGAGAGAAACTAAACAGACTAAATGGTCAACGATACAAGATCAACAAAACAGATTTTTGTCATGAATTCTATTCTTGTCTACAATGTTGGAGAGTTCTTTGTTGAATAGGCACGTTGACCAAGGTGAAAGTTAACTTTCTGAATAATAGTACTGTAAAAGTGTCACATTCATTATGTCCTAAATTTTCAAGTCACTGGACTAGTTTCTTCATATAATATGTTATATTTTCAGTCTTTATTTTTTGAATAACAAAAAGATATAACAAAAAGATATAACAAAAAGATATAACAAAAAGGACAATATGATATGAAAATCTTAACTCAGTAATAAAGATTAAAAATAACATGATGTGTTTAATCAAAAGTATTGAAATTATTTTTTTTCTTCAACTTTTTAAGATCACCTTTAAATTTCTTTCATATTTTTAAGCAGCCATTTTGTTTTTACCTTTAGGCTCAATTGAATTACCATCATCATGAGATAATTAGATAACAAAATCAAATGGGTCAACATATGTGCAAAATGTGAGCAGCTGCTCATATGAGCAAACTGATAAAATGCACAAGTGAAACAAAAAGCTCACATGAGCATTTGCAAGTGAGGTTTTTAACATGTAAATTAAGTTAGTTTCATACGTGCAATTTTTGTGATCACAAAATGCTCACCTTATTTGCATGTTAAAAACCTCATTTGCAATTATGTTAGTTTTTAACGTTAGATCATTTAAATGTGAAAATCTTATGTGCAACTTGTTAGCACCATTTGGTATTTAAAGGGATATTCAATAAAACGAGGAAAATAATTTAAAAAATAATCGATTTGATTTGATCTTTCAGGCTAATACTTCAAGACGTAAGAGAGTTGGACAATTATTGGATGACCTAAGACGTAGAGGTCCAGATGCTTACAACAAATTTTTATATTGCTTAGAAAATTCAGGCCATAGAAATCTTGCAGATGCTGTAAAAGAGAAGGAGAAACAAATCCGTAATGAAAACCAACAACCAGTACTTCGGGAAACAATCCATGGAGCTCAACATCTGCAACACAGCATATCAGCACAGCCTCTTTTATCTCCAGATCCATTATCAAACATGAATTCTAGTCAATCTGCTCCAAATCTAGCATCATCTGGTTCAATAGTTGCATCACCTAGTGAAGATTTACAGGATATCACAAGTAGAAAGGAGGTCCAGGGCAACAGTAATTTCCAAAGAGAGACTGGTTACAATGAGGATATAAGAATGGATGTAGCTGACCACATCAACCCAGGTAGATCTCAGTTTGTCCATAATATCCTCAATTTATTTGTAGAAAAACTTAATTAGATGCAACTATAATGTAACATTAGACTTTTGCTAATTTAATTAGGGCCCCGCTTAGTTGTTGAAGGTCGCCCTATATTGACCAGTCTGTCTGTCCCTTACAAACATATTGTGTCTGCTCCATATATCTAAAGAACCTTTATGATTTCATACTTTATACTTGACAATATATATAATAACGAACACCAGAGGATGTGGCATAATGTATGTACAACTTCCTAGGTTAAAGGTCAAGGAGTTATGCCCCTTTGAACATAGAATTTTGGGCTATGGTTGCAACAGCTTGTCATCACTAAACTAAATCCACACAAAAGAATTTTATGAAATTTTGTATATAGTTTGGACATACTATGTAGATGTACATATCAACAAGAAATTATTATTCTATTTTTTTCTATGTCCCTTTTTATTTAGAATTTTGGCCTGTATATACTACATATTACAGCAACAGTTTGTCATCTCTACTCCTCTGAATTCACACAACAGAATTTCATGAAACCTTGCAGATAATAGCGACTTAATATGTTAATGTTAATTATATCCACAAGAAATTTTTATCAGTTGACTTTTGTAGAAGTAATGAGTCTTTGACACTATTTTGGTTGCCAAGTGTCAATGTGGGGGTGTTGCGTATGTGAGTGTGCTCACAAAGGTTCTTTAATTTATGATGAAGTGAATCCCTTTGAAAACTAAGCTCATATTGTCCTTTTAAAAATAAATTCATTAAATTCTTGGTGTACTTCTTTATGCTGTTATTTATCCAAATCGGGGTCCAAAATTAAACTTTGTTTGATTTCAACAAGAATTGAATATATGGGGTTCTTTGATATGTTCAATCTTAAACCTTGTATTTAGATATTTGATTTTGGGGCCTGTTATCAAATTGGTCCACATTGAGGTCCAAAGGGTCCAAAATTATACTTTATTTGATTTCATAAAAAAATAAGTTCTTGGGGTTCTATGATAACGCTGAATCTAACTGTGTATTTAGGATTTGGATATTTGACTATAATAGGTTAAAGTCCAATGTCAAAATTTTCAGTTCTTTCGGTATCCCAAAAAAATTAAGTATCATATTATAAAAATGGTATACAAAAATGATCAGCATAAAATACCATTTCAGCAGTGTTAATGAAGAACATTTATATGGTCATGACAGTCATTTGATATTGTTTCAGGATTTTCAAACCCTTTACCAGGAGCTGAATCTAGTAGAAGCAGTTCATCAGGCGGGCTTGGGGTATGCAGTAAATTTTAAGACTTTATTACAAATTATTTTTCTTTCTTTCAAGGCTTATTTTGTCTTCATATATCAACAAGTTAAGTACTTCATTTGTCTAACCAATTATCTATCCTCAAGGCATCATTCAACTTAAAAGAGTTGATTAAACATGTTAAAGAGAAGGAAGCAAGGAACACGTCACACAAACAGGTCCAAAGCACTGTTAGATAAGGGATAGCTTACTCGTATGTATATAAATTAAGGGGGTCAGTATATCGCTAGACTTAATATTTTGATAGACATAGCTAAAACATGAAGAAGGTTTTCATAATTTAATTAAATGTATCAATTAAGATGAATGATAATAACAATCAATAAGTAAACAATGCCTTATAATAATAATATTCTAATAAAAGCACAAAGTTTAAAAGCCAAATATCAAATCCAAAATAAAACTATTTCTTTACAATTTCAAATTAAAATATATTTCAAAAATACTAATTTATAAAATGAACTTAATTTCAAGCCTCATACAAAAAAAGTTGATATTTTTCTTACATTGACCTTATATATATTGTATAATGCATGAAATATATGTTTTTTTTCAGAGTTACAATATTACAACTGATCCAAGGGGAATTGTCCTTATTATAAATAACATAAACTTTGTTAGTAATAATGAAAACAGGCATGGAGCTGAAATAGATCAAGAAAAATTGATGGAAATGTTTAGAGACTTTGGATTTGAAATACGTGTCCATATAGATAAAACAGCTCAGGTAACAGAAACTCTTAGTTTTGTGTTGAAAACAGGTTGTCTGAGTTTATACTTTTCTCTGCATGTTTTTATATTTTGATGAGTTTTCTGTGGTGTCCCAAGTATTTAAGTAATTTGTGTTATTTTATCTTAATTTTTTATCTTACAAAGTGTTAATCATTTTAAAAAATTTAAATGGAATAAACTTCAAGGAATTTTTTAAACAAAAAGTTTGAAAAAGGTAAATACAAATATAATTTGTGTGCATCACAAAAAGACACCTTTACCTTAAGTATATGAAACCTGTATTAATTTACTAGTAACTACTACTGTATGCAACCACGACTCACATGGGAAAATCAAAACAAAACGTTACAACAAAAGAGACAATTTTTTTGTTCCTTATTGTTATTTTTTCTGATTTCAACTTTATGCTCCTTTGGTTTGTTTTTTTTTACTGTGTGTATATTTCCCAATTCTTTGCTATAATTGTTGTACCTGCATGTGTATGTGTGACATTTTAGATTTCAATGAGTGTAAACTGAGTATTATATGGTGACATATAGTTGCTTAAATCTATGTCATTTGGTGGATTAGTTGTCTCATTGGCAATCGTACCACACCATCTTATTTCTAAACTTACCTCTAGATTGACAAAAACACTTAAATGAAATGCTTTAAAGAAGAACTTGTCTGTTGCGGTTCTCCAAAACTTCTTGTCAGATTTACTTAGGGTTTCATAAAATGTTAGACTAACATGTCTAGGCGAGCCATCAATCTTTCGTTTGTGCATTGGGGTCTATTAAGGGGTATTTTGATAGGCTTAAAGAAGGGAGGGGTTTACTATAGAACCCTATGGGATTTTATTTTTTAAATTTTCAAATGACTATAACTTGAAAACAGTAAGTGATAGACACGCGCTTTCTTCAGTAATGATCACAGGGCAATACAACAAATCAAATAAAATACAGGGTGAGTTCCTGGGGGGTCACCCCCACCCCCTTCAATTTGAGAATGTGCTTTTATCTTGTAAACAGTCCAGATCCTCACCCCTAAACCATATATATTCTTGTATGGGACAATAAAACAAATGAGCTGCGTCGAATAGAAAGCGACCTTATGCAAATAAATATCTGCCATTATCAATGCATCTGTTAACTTATTTAGGGTTGAAAAAAATCTTTATGCAAAGTCTGTAACTGTTTCGAAATTGAGATTGATATAAGAACCCTACTAAACAGACCAAAATTAATCTTTTATATCGTATTTGAATGTTCCAAAACCAATCAAAGTCGTATATATGTACATGTATATGTGTATTGCATAAGGTTGATTTATATTTGACGCAGCTCAAATCAAATGAAATAATAGGCGAGTACCCTAGGGTCACTCCCACCCCTCTTCTGTTTGAGAACTTGTAAACGGTTGAGATCCCCACCCCTAAACCATATATATTCATGTATGGGACAATTAAACTAATCGAATGAAATATAGGGGAAGTCAATGAGGGTCACTCCCACCCCTCTCCTGTTTGAGAACTTGTAAACGGTCGAGATCCCCACCCTGAAACCATATATATTCTTGTATGGGACAATAAACCAAATCAAATGAAATAAAAGGTGAGTAGCCTGGGGTCACTCCCACCCCTCTCCTGTTTGAGAACTTGTAAACAGTCGAGATCCTCACCCCTAAACCATATCTTCTTGTATGGGACAATAAAACAAATCGAATGAAATATAGGGGAAGTCAACGGGGGTCACTCCCACCCCTCTCCTGTTTGAGAACTTGTAAACGGTCGAGATCCCCTCCCTGAAACCATATATTCTTGTATGGGACAATAAAACAAATCAAATGAAATAAAAGGCGAGTACCCTGGGGTCACTCCCACCCCTCTCCTGTTTGAGAACTTGTAAACAGTCCAGATCCCCACCCCTAAATCATATATATTCTTGTATGGGACAAACAACAAATCGAATGAAATAAAGGGCGAGTCCCCTTGGGATATCCCCCCTCCCTTTTTTTGAGAACTTGTAAACGGTCGAGATCCCCACCCTTAAACCATATATATTCCTGTTAGTTAAGAAGTTTGAATGACAATTACCGGGTCAATCCCTAGGCTTTACTTATGCATATCACTTTACTAGACCAAACCAATTTGTACTGGACTTTGCCTAATGTCAGGGGACAATGGGAATGACAAATTATGGGAGCTTTGTTTGGGAGACTTCGTAACAGCATCCTGTTACAATTATTTCTTGTTTACTTTATGTCTTTCTCAGACCTGCCACTATTGAAAATCCCCATGGGGGATTATTAGTGCCCGACCAGATTTCTAAGGGTTAACATTTTTTATTCTCGCACCATGACTAAAATATGAGTTATCTTTCTTGGTATTCAAAGGTGCTCCTACGGGCGGAGGTTTATACACAGTAGAAGTGAACACAACATGCACAAAAGGCGTTGATTACAAATCAGAACTGGAAAGATACAGGTCTGATTTCAAAAAAAAAAAAGAAAGATAAATGATGTTTCATAATGCATTCATTACAGTTTTTGTCTTTCAGTCAATTACATTTTTGTCAAAATACTACAGTAAATGTTGCAAATTGTGATCATATGAGAAATTGATTAAGATTGAAATTTATCTTGAAATCTGTTAACATTATTGAAATCAGACGTGTATCTTTCCAGTTCCGATTTGAAATCCATGCCTTTTGTATTCATTTCTACTAACAAGTCAAATTTTGCAGATATATTCACTAGACTGTCACTCCTTGTAGGACTTATTGCCCTTGAATCAGGGTTTTTTTAACCCTCTTTTGTGTTTTGAGCAAAAACTAAAAAAGAAAAAGCGACCCTAAACAGACTAAATGATCAGCAATACAATTTCAACAAAACAGAGATTTTTGTCATGAATTCTGTTCTCGTCAACAATGTTGGAGAGTGTCCTTTGTTGAAGGAGCCTCTAGTTTATTGGATTTCTGGGACTTGTTTTTTATTTACTATCCTAACACAATGATACCTTGCTAACATAACTCCTCTGTGAGTCTTTGGCATAAAGCTCTCATACTTGGTAGGATTGTTCATGCAATCATGTGTAATGGACCATATTGTACTGTCATAATGAGTCCATCATTTTATGGGAGATATGAGACTTTAGCATTTTTATACGCCCGTTTACATGATGTATTATGGTATACTGTTGTCCGTCCGTTGTCAACATGTCGGACATTAACTCAAAAACACTTTGCATAAAACTTTGGTATATTGTTTATATCTATTGAAGTGAGCTCCCTTTAGTTTTTCATAAATTTTTGATTTTCCGTTTCTGAGTTATGGGGTTTTATTCATTAAAGAAATGGGGATTTTACAGTTTTCAGACAATAACTCAAGAATAATGCTTTCTATGTTGTGTCATCTGTACTATTATTTGTCTGTTTTTCTTTTTATTTTTGGCCATGGCGTTGTCAGTTTGTTTTCGATCTGTGAGTTTGACTGTCCCTGTGGTATCTTTCGTCCCTCTTTTACACAGCGCGTGGGACATTTCACAACAGCATAGCAATCTTGTTCTCATTATTGAAAGATGTATGGTGACCTAAAGTTGTTTATCATGACTTTAACGTCTTTTGTACTCTGTTAGATAGTTGTCTCATTGGCAATCATACCACATCAACATGAAAAACATATTCATAAATTAATTTTACTTCTACATGCATCGTTGCCATATAAGTGAATTAGAAGAATTGTCCCTATAAAGGCAACAAAATATAAAAAAACAAGCAGTGGAAATCTTTTTATTTAAAAATGCAATTTTACTCATTCATTATACATGATACAATGGTGGAGATAGACCTTTACAGAATAATTCTCTAAATAGGACTGGTGCAAAAATTTGGTACCTGAATGGTTTCTTCTGGTTCAATGTATGAATCTGTATTCAAAGACCATCTGTGTGTTGAGAGACCACTTTTGTCTTTTCCCATGAGTAGTCAGGTTTGACTGTAATTGCATAATTTATTAACTGAAAATTTACCATTAAAATGTATCATGTCAATCATGCCAGTACCAAATTATTATATCTCTACTTGTACAATTTTATTTTTGTAGTTTTGACATATATTTGTGATGCAGTATTTTTCTTTGGTTACAGGAAATAGAAGAAATATTAAAATATTTTTCAAAAGATGAACAGCTCTTAGAAGTTGACAGTTTGATAGTTGTTTTAATGTCGCATGGCAATAATGAAATCATATTAGGAACCGATGGAGAATGCAAAAATATCATAGATCTGATAACACTCTTTAACTCTAAAAATTGTACATCAATGACAGGCAAACCAAAGATGTTTATTGTTAATGCTTGTAGAGGTGGTAAGTCATTTTCTAATTTTTCAATTAATTGGCCAAAGTCTAGAAAAATTTAACAGCTACTATCAAAGGGTTGCCACCAACACCAAATGTAATATATATAGTCACCCATTTATGAAATTTATTGAAGTTATAATGGTTGTCCAGTCAGAATTCCCTAGGTAAGTTAGAAAGAGTGCTTCCTTTTTGCTATCATTTTTCTTTACTTATGGTGTTAGCACTCTCAGGTGTACAATTTTGGCCGGATTTGTATATTTTATAAAATGCATATCATTGGTCAATAAAAAAAAGATATCTGAGCAATGTGTCTTGGACAAAATCAAAAATCAGTGCAGATTAGATATTTTTAAAAGTGTTGTTCCCCTTGGAAATACTAATTATATGAAAAAATTGTGTTATAAAAGCTCTTAGTGACTATTTTTTAAAAGCGATTTGCCCATCAAATTTTTTTTTTTAAAGTTTTGACCCTTGGATTTATTTTTCAGATCTAATTAATTTTATCTGAAATTGCATTGCATTTGCTCTCAAGTCTTCATTCCTGTAAGATATTTATACAATTTTTAATTTTTTCTTTTATTTTATTGATAACACTAACATATATGTAACACTCAGAAACGTGTCCTTCCCCCCAAACGTGTCCGATTCCCCCAAACGTGTCCACATGACGTCACTGAACTGCAAAACAAGTCTGAATGTAAAAGGGCGCCAAAGCGTGTCATTTATATAAACCCCCAAACGTGCCCAATCTCCCAAACGTGTCCAATCCCCCAAACGTGTCCATATCAAGCTTTATTTTTTTTTCTTTTACTGGAACTATCATTCGTGTTCATATTATAAATACGTAGGTTATTTGGTTATTGCTTTTTCATTAACGTATACTCATTTTACTATTTAATTAAAAAATTGAAAAAAATTACTTAAGGTCTTTTTTAAACCCGCAATATAACCTGGGTAAAAGTGGGGCGTCCGTTCAACTATGTTCGATGTAAATGTAAGCAGCCATGCTCAGTTAATTTGTAGATATTAAATCAGATACCTCGTGTAGGGAAAATGTCACTATCTCTGCGCATTAAAACCTCTATAGCATTTCACTCTTTCATGGTGCCATCAGTTGTATTTTGGAAGGCAACATTTTTTTTTTAAATTTCCGTAACATTTATTTAAAACGGCTTCTATTACATAACGGAGATTGAAGTAGTTTCTTACTGAAGTAAAAAAAAAGTCGGCTTTACTGGCTCTTAATTTTTTTAGATTAAAATTCCAACTAGTGTTAATCCCGAGTAACCGTAAAAATTTAGGCCCAATCCAAAATTCCCGGAATAATAATAGAATCTATCTACAGTATTTACTGATGTCGTTCAAATAATGCATGAAATATTTGGCACCGGACGTTATGTCTCTTGTTCCTGTGTCTTTAGTGATGCTCGAAACCTAAAATTTATTAAAAAACCTGATAACCAGTTTATGATTTGAAAAGCTTTTAAAATATCAGAACTGTTGAAAAAAGGGAAGTCAATTCTGGTGAAAGCCCGCCGTGCAATATTCGGATTAATATAAAAGGCATCATCGGAGTTTATTAGTACAAAATAATTTACACAGTAAACGATTAATTCAACTGTACTAGAATATGTATGTTCGATCTTATTGAGCATGAAATACTTGCAACTGGACAATAAGCAATTTCAGTCAAAAGTTAATTCATATGTTACAGATTAAATTTGCAATTATACAAACTAATGCTAATAAATGACCACTGCATCAACTGTCTCCCCCATCATAGAATTGCCGTTCACGTTATTGATTTCATTAGGAACATACATGTATTAGCGCTAAAAGACGTGAGACGTTCTGGCGTTTAATAGTGGACACGTTTTGGCGAATAACAATTATCGGACACGTTTGGGCAATATTGAATATAACGATATTATAATATATATGATAATAAAACCTAAGTACAGTATTTATTGTTAACATGATGTCGTTCAAATAATGCATGAAATATTTGGCACTGGACGTTATGTCTCTTGTTTGTGTGTCTTTAGTGATGTTCGAAATCTAAAATTAAAAAAAAGGCCTGAAAAACAAGTTTGTATCAGAACTGTTGAAAAAAGGGAAGTCAATTCTATAATAGAAAGCCCGCCGTGTAATATTCGCCGACAGGAATGACATAAAAAGGCATATATCGGAGTTTAATAGTACAAAATAATTTACTTAGTAAACGATTAATTCAACTGTACTAAAATTATTTGTATGTTCGCTCTAAATATGCATGAAATACTTGCAACAGGACAATAAGCAATTTCATTCAAAAGTTAATTCATATGTTACAGATTAAATTTGCAATTATGATCATCATTAACAACCGGCGTTGAACAAACTAATGCTAATAAATGACCACTTCATCAACTGTGTCCCCCATCATGGAATTGCCGTAAACGTTTTTGACGTTATTGAGGGCATACATGTATTAGCGCTAAAAGACGTGAGACGTTCTGGCGTTTAACAGTGGACACGTTTTGGCGAATAACAATTCTCGGACACGTTTTGGGTTTATGAAATCGGACACGTTTGGGCAGCATTGAATATTACGGACACGTTTGGGGGGAATAGACACGTTTGGGGGAATCGGACACGTTTGGGGGGATGGACACGTTTGGGAGTGTTACATATATATTACAAAATATTGTCAGTACTTTATTTAAATTTATATGGTAACATATGGTACAATTAACATATATGACATTTTTGGAAAGATCGGAACTTGTTCAAATTCTTTCTTAAGGCACCAGCCTCCTAAACAGAAAATGGACAGATAAGCTACTAAATCAATACACACGAACGTATAGTTCCCCAATGTTCCATGTCTGTGTTCATATGCACAAATGAACTGTAAAAAATTGTTACATCTTAGTAAAGAGTATTTTGTCCCCCCCCCCCCCCCCCCCCCCCCCCCCAAAAGATAGTCATTACTTTTTCAATTTACTGCCTAGTTTTGTCTTTTTATTTAAATAAGTGTATTGATACATTATCAGTATGATTGACAACTGTCATTATCAAGAAACAATTAAACACAAAGGGTTGGACAATAATTGGAATTCTAAATAGACCCCTCCTCCTTAATCTTAATCATAATTGACCAAATTACATAACTATTGAGTTTATACAAAAATATGGCAGACCACTCAATTCACAACTTTTAACCTCATTAGCATCAGATATAGTTTGATCTATACTGGTCAGTGTTATTAGGTGACCTCTATCTTCACGTGTGATTGATACATTTGTACATATGGTTTACACATGGAAGTATAATATTGACAGGAACTCCAACAAGCGGACTTCAAACGTTTATAGTGCGATGCCGCAAAATCGTTAACTATCTGCTAATTAACTCGACATGTCGTATGGATGCATGGGTTCCGATCAAATTTTTGGAACCTCGAGATTGATCGTATTTACGGAACATACCGAAATAAGCGGATGTGTACTTAATTGCCAAGGAAATAACATTTACCGACCATGTCAAGTCAGTTTTTCGGGGTTTTTCTGCTTAAAAACAAATAAAAAGAAAGCAATTATTATCGCGTTTTACTGCTAACTTTGACAAACATTTTCATGAAGTGTTTACTGTAAGAAATTTCCAACAGAAAAAAAAAAAAAAAAAAAAAGAATTTCCAACAAAAATTTGATTGAAAAGTTGGTTCCCTGTAGCGGCAGTGGGCCGGGGAGATGAAAGGGTTTTGATGGCAAATGATGATTATGTGGAACAGTAGAACTACATAAACGGCAAAGTTCCTCCATATCAGTTTACTGAAAAAAAAGTATTGCTATTCTTCATTTGATTTAGTTGCAGTAAAAATGTAACCATCCCCCTTTTGTGCTACCAATGTGAAAAAAATATTTTCATTACTGACAACCAACTGATTAATTTCAAGAAGATACCATATGAAACATTCCCCCCCCCCCAAAAAAAAATTAAAGAGTTAAACCACAATTGTTTGCATGGACATCATTTTCATTTGCAAATATCTATTTATTTCTATATTGACTCACATTTGTTTTTCTGTTTTTTGTTTTGTACATAAATCAGGTCAATAGTTTTCTCGTTTGAATCTGACTATGCGATATGGATTTTGCTAAAATATGTTAAAGGCTGTACGGTGACCTATAGTTGTAAACTTCTATGTCATTTGGTCTCTGGTGGAGAGAAGTCTCATTGGCAATCATACCACATCTTCTTATTTTATATTGAATTATAATTAATTTCTTGTGTAAGGAAAAAAATAGTTGTAATCTGCATGTATAATTGAGGTTTAATGCTAACTTTGACAAATATTTTGTTTAATTGTTTACTGAAAGTCCAATGTCAAATATTTCATGCATTTCAACAAAAACAAAATATTATAAATTGCTAAACAAATGCTGCAAGATGTTTCAGAGCTGTTAAAAGCCTTTACAAATAAATTTAATTCTAATGATAAAATTTTAAGAATATACTGCTTAAGACCCAGCATTATGATAGTTCGTTAAATGCATCGAAATATTTAAAGTTAAGCCATTATTTCCCAAAACAAATCTGTCAGACGGTAGAGCAATCTCGGACTAGGTTGAAGGTTGTTTTAAACTTTTGAATTTATTCAAAAGGTGTACATGTAATCGGTGTTATAACCTGATACATGTTATATGAAGAGGCCATCACGTGCGTGTAATTATCCACCTCTCTTAGTGTTTAAAACATTTTCTATTAATATGTTAAATTACATTTTACGATATTTTACGATGGAGAAACCCATAAATATTTGTGTTACACTTGATAAAAGTTTACAATCTTTAACTGAAAATTTGAGTTATCCTGCACCATACGGCACACTTCACGCGCATCACATTAATTTCTGCAAACACTCTACTTCAGAGTCATGTAATTTTCATAATCAGATATTTCCTGATTTCCTAGTTCCAGTGATAAAAGCATATTTAACAAAACTAAAAATAATCTTAACTTCTTTCCGAATAAAATTAATTTTCTTTTGTCATTCTGTTAAATGTGGACTGATTTTTTAGATTGTTTCAGCTGTAGTCTTTAATTATTGAACGGAAACAGGTGTCGTTATTCATGTAGCGATTCGCAAATAGCCACGGGTTTCCGTGTTTATTTACATTGGTAGGTAGATAAGACCTTCGATAACAGATCACGTTATAAGATCAGTTTCTGTAAACTATACAGGCGAAGGCGGCATCGCAGATACCCCGCATAGGAGTTATCACGTACTTGACAAACTGAGTCGGAACCTTTTATTTTCCTAAAGAAATCAGTGGGATGCGAATGTGCTAATTTTTTGTTGGAGTTCCTGTCAATATAATACTTCCATGGTTTACATTAATATTTGTTTAATAAAATTATAAATAGCTGATAGATTTAATCCTTTATCTATATATAACTTTTAAGGATTTACACTGCATTAAATAAACTATTTGTAAATTTTGTCTGAAAGGTGGTAAGAGTCATTGTTTAATTAAGGATTAATACAATGTATTATTTAGTTAAAGAAAAGACCAAAATGAGCATCTGTATGAGCAACACATCCAAGTGGAGTCTTTTTTTTTTGGCAAAATCTCTGCAACAATTATTTGTATTTATTAATCTATAATTTAGGTTACATTTATCAGTGAAGGTATTTGTAGAGTCTAAAACAGGAAAAGTATTTTTGCAATGAAATGCTTACCCTCATTTTCACATCAATAAGATAAATATCTTAATTTTTTTCATCTTGAAAAACCTGTTTTTGGTAAACATGAAATGAAATTCAATAAAAATCCTTTGAACATTCCTCTTTCTTTCCATTATGTCATAATCAAGATTAAAAAAAGGACTTTAAAGTTTCAACTTCAAGTCTCTTAATCTATTTGTCCAAGCTAGGTTTACTGAAAAACTACAAAGATGATTTTTTTAGGTGATTTCTTCTGTTTCAAAATATATAAATATTAAATTGCAATTTAAAAGAAGTTATTATGCAAATATATTGACCCACTGACAAAACTCTATTCAGTTGTCTTTTTTACCCACTACAAAATTGCTTATCTGTCTAAAAATCTGCAGTAATGTAACTAACAAATATGTAACAGTGCTTTATCAAATTGTTCTTGTCCACCATCACTGCAATGAAGGAGTAATAATTGACATTATACACACAATTCTTTTTGTCTATCTGAAAGACCCTGAGTCTCAGGAAAGACCTTTGAAAGAAAACTTCCGTCAAACTTTTCTTAACTTCTATTTCTGGCGCTTGATAATGTTGAGTTGTAGCTTGTAAGCCATTTTTACATCAGCACTGAAGCCACTTCCTGTTTGCCTATAGTTTGGAATTTTACAACACTCACTGCATGTACAAGGAAATTTTTTTCAAAATTTTTTTGGCTTCTAAGAAAGGGAATGATCAGTTACTTTTGAGTTTACATGTCTTTATAGCCAGTTGCATGCAGCGACGCAGGTCTTTAGACCAGGTATTGGTCTTCTTTACTGTTCGTGCAGTATCATTGATTCCAGTTGATCAAATGCCTGTTATATTTGTTTTATGCTCTTACTCATTCTCAAATGAAATCTGGTTTCATTAGATTTATTTTAAGTTGAATATACAATTCTATTAATAGGTCAGCTTATTGTCATCTTTTGTTGTATTATTTCTTTTTCAGATGGTAGAGACAAAATATTTGGGAAAACTCAACCTGTTGATGTTCATGATACAGTTCATACTGATGGTCGAGGGTTAAGTAAACAGCCAGCAAACTGTGATTTGTTAATAGCATACTCAACATTTCCAGGTATATATATATAGATTTTTAGGAAATCATTTTCAGCTACTGGTTTTATATTGTCATCAGTGTGACATTAATGTAAAATATTGACATTAGTACACTCTCTATAGGATTCTGCCACATAATCTCTTCTATCTAGTAAAATGGTCTTCAATAAATAATTATGCAGCAAGATCTCTTTTAGTTGTTAAAGTTCCTTTTGAAGTATTTGATCTTACTAAAATACATTAATTCTGCATTCAAACAATCGATTAAAGCCAATTTGTATTTTATTGGTAATACTTTTATAAATTCTACTTTTGATTGTGTATACCATTTGTCTCAATAACTACAAATCAGAGCTTCCTGAAGTTTGTTATCATGCTTCATGTAAACATGCTTAATATAACCTATTAATGTGGTTTCAGATTCATCTTCAACTTCCTGTATACCAGTTCTACTTGTTTTTCAATTAAAATTTCAATGAAAAATGGGAATGTGGAAAAAATTGAAAACAACCAAAGTTAATCACATAAGTATAGATTCTACCACTGCATCGAGTTTGATACGATATTTATCTACTGGAGACAATTAAATTTTCAAATTTAAAACGTAAGGCTCGCTGAGCGTTTTAAGTAAAGAAAATTTTACTCTCAAGTTTGGATAGATATCGTATTGCACAAGATGTGGTGGTGGAATCTGTTTCTCTAATGATTCAGCTTAGATGATTTGCAGACAATCTTCATCCTTCTTTTCGAATGACCTACAAAAAGATGTGTTATTTCTATGTGACGTCATCAGACATGGTCACCTTTTTAGCTCACCTTGCCCGAGGGCCAAGTGAGCTATTCTCATCACTTGGCGTCCCCTGTCCGTCATCGTCTTCGTTGTCGTTGTCCGTTGTCGTCGTTAACTTTTTACATTTTGAACTTCTTCTAGAGAACCAATGAATGGATTGGTACCAAACAGCGTGAATGTTCCTTTTGAGGTGCTGACCAAGTGTTGTTACTTTGAAGCCGATCCATCATCCAAGATGGCCGCCAGCTGGGGACTTAGTTTAACATAGGACCCTACGGGAAATACATACAAATGTCTTCTTTTAGAGAACCAATGAATGAAATGGAACCAAACATGGCATGAATGTTCCTTTTGAGGTGCTGACCAAGTGTTGTTACTTTGAAGCCGATCCATCATCCAAGATGGCCGCCAGCTGGGGACTTAGTTTAACATAGGACCCTATGGGAAATACATACAAATGTCTTCTTTTAGAGAACCAATGAATGAAATGGAACCAAACATGGCATGAATGTTCCTTTTGAGGTGCTGACCAAGTGTTGTTACTTTGAAGATGATCCATCATCCAAGATGGCCGCCAGAGGGAGACTTAGTTTGATAAAGGACCCTATGGGAAATACATACAAATGTCTTCTTTTAGAGAACCACTGAATGGAATGAAACCAAACATGGCATGAATGTTCCTTATGAGGTGCTGACCACATGTTGTTACTTTAAAGCCGATCCATCATCCAAGATGGCCGCCAGCGGGAGACTTAGTTTAACATAGGACCCTAAGGGAAATACATACAGATGATTTCTTTTAGAGAACCACTGAATGGAAAGAAACCAAACATGGCATAAATGTTCCTTATAAGGTGCCGATGAAGTGTTGCTACTTTGTTGCTGATTTACTGTTAAAGATGGTCACCAGGATTTTTTTATTAAATTACAGGGCCAATAGTAAACCAAATTTGGCCTCAATCATTATTTGGGTATCTGTTACGATTTTTATCTATTTTTACATGATTTCAAAAACCAAAGTAGAGTGAGGTGAGCGACACAGGCTCTTGAGAGCCTCTAGTTTCATGAAGTCACAATAGGAATTTCAGAGGAAAGCAAGAAAATTTTACGTCATAATCGAAGAACTGAGATCAAATGAACCACACTTTGATTAAATAAAATTAATCAACAGGTCAGGAAAGGGATTAATCGAGTTTGAATCAGAGAAAGCAATGTATGTTGGGTAACTTATAGACAATTTGAGATATTTTTATACGACCGCAAAATATTTGGTGGTGGTATATTGGTATCACGTCGTCATTGTCAGCATTGTCCGAAGACATTTGGTTTCTGGACAATAACTTAAGTATAAGTAAATAGAAATCTATAATTTCTAATAAATTTAAACACAAGGTTTATAACCACAAAAGAAAGGTTGGGATTGATTTCCGGGGTTATGGTCCTAACAGTTTAGGAATTAGGGGCCAAAAAGGGGCCCAAATTAGCATTTTTCTAGTTTCCAGACAATAACTTGTGGAACAGTGTATGGATCTCTCTGAAATTATACCACAAGTTTCCATACCACAAAGGGATGGTTAAGATTGGCTTTGGGGGGTTATGGCTCAAACCGTTTAGGAATGAGGGGCAAAAAAGGGGGAAAAACAAGGGTTTTTCTGGTTAATGGACTATTACTTAAGACAATTTAAAAGCAGTGTAAGGAAGGTAATCCAAACACAACCTTTTGGATTACCTCCCTTACACTGCTTTTAAATTATGTATAAAGGAATGTATTGTCTTGAGGTGATTAGCTGTCAATTTATTTTTAGAAGTTACTATTAAAAATGCTGATTAAGGTATATTAATTTAAGCCATGATTATGTATGTCATTTTCTGTTTTAAGACTTTGATGTATTTAATATTTAAATGGGTAATTATGGTTGCAAACTCCATTGGAAATTTGAATTCAGATAATGACCATATCTTGAGGGAAAAAGATATTTTTTTTTTGGAAAAAGGTGGGTTAAGGGGGGGGGGGGGGGGGAAGAAATTGTGGAGGGGGTTGGTTGCAATTTTTTCTCATTTCAGATTTCAGAAATTAAAAAGAAAATTTCCTCAAATATTTCTTTTTGCAAAAAAAAGGAGGGGGGGTGTAAAAAAACTTTTTTCTTTGGGGGGGGGGTGTGTCAATACGCAACAGCATAATGTATTGCACGAAAGCAAAATAAATGGGGGGAATTTTTTCTTTTTTTTGGAGGGGGGGGTCAATTCGTAACAGCATAGTGTATTGCACAAAAGCAAAAATTGAATATAAATTCAAATCATATAACCAATTCTAAGTTCTTTGACTACAGTTATTCTGTGTCAGAAACCTGTTATGTGTCAAATATTTAATTACAATCCAAATTCAGACCCGTATCAAGCGTAATATTGTGTCCATTTTTGCCCCAACTGTTCATGATTGGACCTCTGTGCTCATATCTAGCTGCGCTCAGCGAAGCAATTTATTCAATCTGTTTTGATTGTATGTTTATTTGGCAGGATATGTCTCTTTTCGAGATGATAAGAATGGCAGTCCATTTGTAAAATGTCTTGTGGAAGTTTTTAGAGAGATGGCACATTTGGTACATGTGTTAGACATGTTGACAGAGGTAAATGCTTCTTAAATCAGTTCTAGAACTTTTTACACAAACTTTTTAAGATATCATGAGATATATTTCACGCTCTTGATAAGAATAAGAAGATGTGGTATGAGTGCCAATGAGAAAACTATCCACCAGAGTCCATATGATGCAGATGTAAACAACTAAATGCTACTGTACAGACTTCAACATTGAGATAAAATTCATACTTTATAGTCAGCTATAAAAGGTCCTGATATGATAATATGTTGAATAAATCAAACAATGGCCTGATTTATGTATAAAACACAAAACAGAAAACAAATGAAAAAGACAGCAACTACAGGCTCCTTACTTTATACAGGCTCTTTATGCATTGGTCGATTGTAAGAAGAAAGAAGGGATCTTCTAACATGAATGTAAGAATGAATTTATTTTCAAAGTAAATTGGGAGATTTTATAAATCTTTTTATCCAAGAAGGGCAAATTGTAAGGTTGTATGGGATAAAAGTTTCTAGTTTGTAGTATTTAAAGGGCACAAGTTAGTATCACCTGTTGGATTACCTTACTTTTTTAATTCTTTTTCAGGTGAACAATAGAATGGCAGATAGCCACAATCAGATTCCAAATCCTACAAGCACATTACGGTTAAAATGGCACTTGATGTAAAACCACTTGTATCAAAATTTTAGAGTATTGTCATGTAAGATTATTATGGCAGCTTTGTGTTCACGTTTTAAAATCTACCATTTTAAGCTGCAAAATCCAATCTGGAATAGTTTGTTTCTGGTTTTTTCTCTTGCCTGCAACAAATGTCATTCATTGCAAAATTTTAGATATATTATCTAGTGCAAATACAGTGATGGGGGCATGGGGGCTTAGCTCTTCAATCAAGCTTTATATTTCATAAGGTAGACGACTTGCATTTTTATTATTTTGTATACAGATGTCTTTGGTTACTGTACAGACTTCAACAATGAGAAAAACTCATACTTTATAGTCAGCTGTAAGAGCTAGGTCCTGATATGATAATGATAAGAAGTTTGCAGCACACATTTTTTTTTTTTTTAATTTTTCATATTTTATTGAAATCTGTGCATTTGTTAGTTGAAAAACATCATGTACCGGTACCTTATCCCTTACTTGATAACCTATTTGTACAGCTGTTAGTATTTGTTAGTAATATACATACAATATTGCATACTCAAAAAATTATATAACATGTCAGAAATATCAATTAAGAAGCTTACCATTAAGATCATCAAATATAATTTTCTAACATAGCAAATGCACAGGTTATCAAAAATATAGTTTGTGTAGTTAAGTGATATTTTTAAAGATATGTGTTTTGAGTGTGTCTGTAGATTTTTAAACAATCAAAAGGAATTATTATTTTTTTATAGAAGAGTTGTTTTGTTTGTTTTAATTTTGTCTTTGCACAGATTAATTTTATAGCATTTTCCCATAAAAGAACCAATTTATCATATGACAATTTTATCTCTACTAAATTATGTACACATAACGTCACAGTACCAAAATTGCACCTATTCAGGAAAAATTGCAGTGGAAATGGGGAATGTGTCAAAGAGACAACAACCCGCCCATATAGCAGACAACTGCCGAAGGCCACCAATGGGTTTTTCAATGCAGCGAGAAACTCCCACACCCGGAGGCGTCCTTCAGCTGGCCCCTAAACAAATATGTATACTAGTTCAGTGATAATGGACGTCATACTAAACTCCAAATTATACACAAGAAACTAAAATTAAAAATGATACAAGACTAACAAAGGCCAGAGGCTCCTGACTTGGGACAGGCGCAAAAATGCGGTGGGGTTAAAAAATGTTTTTTAAGATCTCAACCCTCCCCCTATACCTCTAGCCAATGTAGAAAAAACAAACGTACAACAGTAAGCACAGTAAAACTCAGTTTAAGAGAAGTCCGAGTCCGATGTCAGAATAAGAAACAAAAGAAAATAAACAAAATGACAATAATACATAAATAACAACAGACTACTAGCAGTTACTGACATGCCAGCTCCAGACCTCAATTAAACTGATTGAAAAATTATGTCTTCATCATATGAATATCAGGCACAATCCCTCCTGTTAGGGGTTTAGTATTATACCATCATAAAATATATTAGAAGAACATAACCCGTGTCATGCCAACAACTGGTTTTAGAATAAATATGTTAAATTCCGATGCAAAGACCCTATAAGTGAATCAATATTAAAGCCAAAATATGCAATCTTTAATGACCTGACAACAGTATCGTAACTATATCCATTTTTGCATTTTTGTATTTTTATGATTTGACATTATACACGTCTTTCAAATAAGTAAATATATTTTAATATACACAAAACGTTCACAGTATATATCAACAGATAAAGTATCCACTGGAAAAAGTTAAATCTACTGAAACGTCACCAAGCGACGTCCACAAAAAGTCATCTTTTAAAAATGAGCAAATAAAATATGTTACAAGTATCCATTTCTTAAGAATTGAATACTAAGCATGGACTAATGTCAAATTGTTCTAAAATATTTGAAGAAATAAAACAAAACATCTGTCATTCGATTTTTGAGGATGTGAATTTAAGCATGGATGCAATTTGGGTACTCCTCATTACAGAATCATGGATCGTTTGGAGGTCGGTTCAAACCCATTTTTCTATTATTCAATATGGATTCAAAATTAAATTGGTGTAACTATGTAGAAAAAAGGATACATCTACAAAATAAACACAGAATGGAATCTTTTGTCTGGATCATAGATAAACAAAAACTGAAAAGTATAGCAAAAACATTCCAATTCTTGTTAAAAATATCTACTCTCATTTTTAACAGCAATTATTTTTACAATGCTGTATAAATAAGAGACTTTATTCTATTAAGCACTGCCTGCAATGTTAAAGCTTTTTCCAAATATTTGCAGTTAAAAATATATTGTTTTATTTGCAGATGAATAAAATTAACAACATCCCCCTAAATGATTTTGTAATATCACCAAACAGAAAACTTCTTATATATAGCAAATGGAACATTTATACCATTTGACAAAAACCAAGAGTTACATCATCAATGAATGTTTGTACAATCCCACAATTCCCATATATGTTCAAATAATTACATTACATGTATGTTTCAGTATCATACGTTATTTTGATTGGTTAACAGCAATCTCGCGTCATTCTGAAATTAACCTTCATTTCAAAATAAAATGTAACATTCATGATGACACAAGCTTTGACAATAAAGTGCACAGGTGAATAAAAGAAAAATTTGATAGAAATCGTGTTTTCATGATCCTAGCAAAAAAATGTAATTATAACTATTGAATGCTTCTTTTAGTAATTTTATAGGGTTGTAAAAGCGTTGACATTTTTAGAATGAAGCGATTCCGCAACATAATTTGTAAGATGTTTTCAGCTTAGATTACAATAAGCATTTACACAAATTTTTTAATTCAAATTGAATGTGATTTCTCTAGCGAGATCAGGGTATGGTATGATGCGGTAGAGGGCTTTGATCGAAAAAATATTGTATTTTGGCAATTTTTCTTTGTCTTGTTTCACTGGGCGCTATTTCTACCATTTCAGTTAATTATATCACCCCTTTCTTCAAACCCTGGTGAACATGATACAATCAAAATAACCAAAAAGATATAACAGTGCTGTGGCCCAGTCATCATGACCATTGTTTAAATCAATTTAGAAATATTTTACCTAAATTTAAAGTTAAACCATTCATAGTTTGAAGTTGCTTTGAATTTGTTTTATCATTTTGATATTTTTTACATTTATACGTTTACATTTTTCTACAATGTGAAGATAGTGAAAAACATAAATATTTTTGTAACACTATAGATGAAAAATTGATAACATTTGAATTAAATTTTGAGTTATCCTTCGCCATCCTCCATGCTAAACGTTATTTTATGCAAAAATTCTTTATTTGGTACATGTAATTTTATTATTGGAGATTTACTGATTTAAAAGTTTCAAGGATTAAAACATATTAAACAAAAATAAAAACAATCTTATATTCCTTCGATTTGCAATTAGTTTTCATGCGTTATTCTGTTAAATATTGACAGATTTTTCAGATCTTTTTGGCTTTAGACTTCGTTAATTGAAAGAAAACAGGTGTTGTCATTCATGTATATATATATAGTGATCTACAAATAACCATGGGAGTTTACATGTTTATTTAATGTAGATTCACTGTACACTGCCATCTTGGATTGTACAATGGTCTAGTTCTTTGCCTAAATCTGCAAATTTTGAGACAGATTTGCATTTTATGTGTAATTCAAGAAAAATAAGTGATTTATTGTATTATTCAAAATGTTTAAACAAATACCAAATTAATGTGTTTCTTAGAATACATTTTTCAAACTCTTATAGTAAAAAATTAAACTGGAATGATAGTGAAATTATCATTTTTTACTTGTAGAAAGAAAACAAGTTCGGTGACACCATTTTTCTTTATATTTTTTTTAAGGCATATTATAAAACCTATCTTCTCTTATTTTATTTTAAAATTCTATATCATAGATTTCTTTTTATTCACAAAAATGTGTTTTTTCATGAACAATCTGTGCAAATTTGGGCAATTTTGCACAACTTGTGGTTTGAAAATTGCACGGTGACCCATAGTTTTTATTATATTTTTGAAAAATGCAAAGTAAAACCTTCATTTAGGCAAAATATAAGAAAATTCTGTCTGAAGAAATATATACCGACGATCCACCTTAAATTGGTAGGTAGATGAAACATTTGATATCAAATCATGTGATAAGAGCAGCTTCCTGTAACGTAACAGGCGAAGGTGGTATCCCAGATACCCTACAAAGAAGTTATCACGTACTTGGCATTCTGAGAACTTTTGGAAATGTGCTAGTTTTATGTTGGAGTTCCTGTCAATATAATACTTCCATGCTGAGATATTGTAGGCAATTATATAGGGCAACTATGTTTGGTGTATGGAATGATTGTAAGGTATACATATCTATCAGACAGGGTTCACCTCACTTTGACCTCATTTTTATCGATCAGTGATCAATTATATCTTATGTATGCAATGATTGTAAGCCCTCATGGAAAAATAAGGCTTCTTGCAAATATTTGCGGCAATGTTGCTGCAAATATTTGCGGCAATATTGCTGCAAATATTCATTTTTCGTATGCAAATTAGTTTTCTTGCAAACAGTTGCTGCAATATTGCCGCAACAATTTGCGGCAATATTGCAGCAAATGTTTGCAGGAAAATCAGTAGCTATGATTGTTGCAGCAATATTGCGGCAAATTCATTAGCTGCAATGTTGCAGCAATATTGCAGGAAAATTAATTTCTTGCAATATTGCAGCAATATTGCAGCAAATCTTTCAACAATTTCAGTTGAAAAATTAGGAATTAAAAACTAAGCATTTAAAAAAGTATGATTTAATAATAAAACTAAATTTTCTCTGTCCTCTATAGGTTGTTGTGTTACATATCTGTGTATCCTTTAGTTCTGTTTCTCTGTACTCACTGTCCTTAAAGTTGAATTTTCTGATTTCAAATACTGCAAAATAAAAGTTGAAGAATTTAGCATACATTAAAAGAATAACTAAACATTATAAGGATATAAAGATATAAGTTACTACTATATATTGTAAATTCTGGACGTAAAATGAAAATAACTCTTTATAAAGAGATGATTACAGACCAATTTTTCCAGCATTTGTTTCATTTAAAGGGTCAATGTCTAAAAGTTATCAAGTCCTTCTAGAAATTGCATATTACTATACATTTAACCTTATGCCAGTACTAGGTTGTTATTGCTTTTTTGAATATTTGTTTTTCATTGAACTATAACATAATTGGTCTTGTCTATTCTTTAAAATTTTTGTGATTAGTTGTGTATATATAAAAGCTAAATATTGTTGCCATTTGTTGAAAGACCTCTTATTGGCAGTCAAATCACAGATCTCTAATTTAATACCAAACTGCTTTTATTAGAAGATTTCTTGTTTCAATTTAAGTAATGTCCTTTCTAAAACATATAGTCTTAAATAGATTTAAAAAAATATCTCCTGTCTTACACAATTTTAATAATATTCATTTGCATAAATCTATTGTCTTATACTTTTGTCAACTCTATTAAGTTTAGAAAACTCTTTGAATATCACTATTTTGAACTGTAAATAAGAGCAAGCACTTATTCAAAATGGTGGACATTCAACTCCATTGTACTTACCAAAAGATGTTATCCAAATTATGTGTAAACACCAATCTTCCTAAATCCAAGAGTCATGTCAACTGAAGGCTATCATATGCACTATCCAGTGTCAATAGAATTAATTGGAACTTTTGGATCTAAATCCATTGTAAAATTCATATTACTTTGTTCATGATAGAAGACATCTTTGTTTGTTGTATGCATGTTCATGTCCAGTTCAAATTTTGAATATGTTGATCAAGGTTGCTTAGGGTATTGTGACAGTGTGATCCCTTTGAAATTTGCCCCTAATTATAAATATCAATTGCCTAAATCTTGAATATTTGTTATATATTATAATAAAAAAATAATTATATATATATATTTTTTTTTATCTTTGATGTTATAAGTTATAATGGAAATATATACAAAGAAGAAATGCTCTACCCTTAATTTGGCCTCAAACTCTGTGTACATTGATTTATGGTACTTCCTGTCTTTACCACTACACAGAGATAAATTGAAACCAGATGGCACATTACATTTCTATCACCAGCTCATATTACTAATTGAGATGAGAAAGATAATTTGTGTATACATAGTTTTAAA